GCGCAAGCTACATTAAAGTGATTATTACGTTTTGAATATGGATATGTGTCTTACAAAAACGCATCGATTCTCTACAGGAGGGCTTTGTTCATCCCCCGGAGCCGTGCGAGACACTTTTTTTTTTTATGGATGGGCGCTTTTTATTTCACTTCTTTTGGACAGAAGCAATGCACTTTTTTGGGTGAACTAACCCTTTAAGCGTGTGTTTGGGAGTCTGTGTATTTTGCATGCATGCATTGCTCATTTGCAAGCATATGCATGATTATGTTCTCACATTGTCTGCGTCTGCTTTGCACAGAGGAGTTGCAGGATGAGGAGGTGCTTGAGGAGGTAGAGGAGCAGGGGGAGGAAGGTAGTGTCGCTTGTTCTAATGCTATTGCTAAAGCCACAGTTAATAATGAATGAGATTTGTATGCAAGCTTTTTTTCTGCCATGGGATGAAAAATAAAAAAAAAGGTAATTGTGACTTTCTATCTCACAATCAATTTTTTTCTTGCAATTGTATATATAAAATCACAATAAAAAATGGTTTTCTCAAAACTCTCAAATCTAAATCTCGCAATTCTTACTTTTTTTCACAGAATTATGAGCTTACATCTCACAATTTTTTTTTCTGCACTGGAGTAAAAAAAAAAAAAGATTGCAAGTTTATATAAATACAGAATTGTGCGAAAGTCCTATTTGTGAGATAAAGTGTCACAATTATTTTAATATATACATTAAAAATGTTTGCCATTATGGACTAATAAAACAGATGATGTTGTTGGGTAAATCTCACAAAGTTTGTCAAGAGCATGTCCCAAAATAAAACAAGGGTAAATTATATTTGGATAAACAAATCCAATGTACCTTTAATTTATGAATTTAAAAGAATGAAAATAATGCTTCATTTTTAAGCCATAAGGCAATTTTTCATGCATCATATCATTTCTTAGTTAGCCTATTACTTTTGATTAAGGACTGAAAATTAACACTCTTAGCTTCATTTGTGTGCTTTAATAAAATGGATAATGCATGTTAATATTAATACAAGTAAAATATTTATCATTTTAAATAACAGTTATTTTGTTAGGTTCACTGTTCACTATCTTTCTACTTTTATTCAGTGTGTTATTTGCCATTTCTTTGTAATTATTTGTGAATTTTACTACCAATTTCTTAGTTCAAATTGTTTCAATGTAACTCCTACACCATTTTTATTTTAGTATATTAGTACTTCAGAATTATAATTACTTAGGGTTAATAATTAAGTAATGTAGCCTACACAAATATTGTATAATGATACACAGGGCAAGACTTCAAATTGATCATAATGTGTTTTCAGGTAAATCCTCCTGTTTATGTGTTATTTTTTAGGGCTTGTAGAGGTCAGTGGGAAGCAAACACCCAATCCACATCAAGCAGGTAATTAAATACAGGATCATTCAGCAAGTGCTTATAATCCCATCAACAACACCCAATAATTATACTTTCACAAAGTCACTGAAGGGTGACACATATGGGATGAACTTTAGATCAATGTCAGTTATTGTCAGCTTAACGGAATACATCCATCATATTTAAGAAGTTTCAAGCACTTCCAGATTTCTTAACCTGAAATACTCTGAAAACAATGGTGACCACCCAGATTTTTTTTAGACAAAATACCTTTTAGTTTCTGCTAACAGACGTGTCTTCAGGGCTTCTCTGTATCTCTTGGGTCTCGCGTCAATGCTGTGGATCTTCACATTGCAGTCATAGCTGACATAGCTGTCTTTTCTTATTTAGATGCTGCTGAGGAACCTGGGGAAGAAGGTAAAGTGATAACATCAGACTCTCTCAAAACTGGTTTCACCCTAGAAACTGAGCCCTGATCACCTTTGACCCCCTTTAAAAGAAACAACAGTAAAATAATCAGCAACAAAGTCATACATTTGTAATTTTTTCTTTACTCTCCTGCCAACCGGATGATGCAGGAGAAACAAAACCAAAGCATAAGTAAGTAAAACTTTCAAATTTATGCAAAATAAAATATAAATAGCTTATATATAAAGTATAATGTATAACAATGCATTTCCAAATGTAAGACCATTAGCATGAAAAAAAAATACTAATGCATTGTTGTTGATTATTAGACCCTTTGTGCCAGCTTTGGTGCCTCCCAAAATTCCTGATGGAGAGAAATTTGATTTTGATGTGAGTATTTTTTTATTTTATGGTGCATCAGATTTCTTTTAATTATTGTAGCATACGCTTCCTTCATTTATTTACATTGTATTAATTTGTTTACTACTGCAATTTTGCTTTGAGGTGTTGTCCTTGTCAGCAACAATGCTGCAAATGCTTTCACAATACAGATATACGTTAATAACTGTCGTGCCAATAAATCACTCTGTTACTAAACTAAACAGTGTTATATGACCTGCACTGTCTTAAACATGTGCTACGAGTAGTTTCTACCGTACTGTACATTATTACATAATTACCTTCAAAACCATATCCTCAGGATATTCACCGCAAACGTATGGAGAAAGACCTGACGGAGCTACAGACGCTCATTGAGGCTCACTTTGAGAGCAGAAAGAAAGAAGAAGAGGAGCTGATCAACATCACCCAGCGGATTGTAAGACTTTTTTTTTTTATAAAAATTAAATGCATTTCTTCATAACTACTGTCACATATTACAAAATAAATAAATAAACCCTCACCACAGCAACTATGATAAAACAAGTGAACCCTTTTGTTCAAATCACCCTGCTGAAAAAGGCTATAGACTAGCTAGGTTTTGTTGCTAAACAGCAGGGCTATACTGCTCTACCAGCTAGACCAGCAACAAACCAGGTCTAACCAGCATGGAAACTCATGCTTGCTTTACTCTGCTCTTTCCAGCAGGACTGAGACTGGTTTCACAGAGCCAAACTGTTGACTACATAAATAAATACCTTCAAATAAAAGCATGACTCCTTGAACATCTATACAGAGAACATAAAAAATAGAAAATAAAAAACAAAGCAAAATATACTACAGTCAGTGTTTAATTTGTGTATTGTGTAAATTGTAATTATGTTAATTATGCATGCATGGCTTAACAAAATATAAAACAACATCAAGCTACATGTGAGTTTTCTGAAAATGATTGTGTTTGCAAATGATGTGAGTGTATTTGCTAAGATGTGATGCACATGGAAACTGTGATACATCACCATTGAAAACTTTGGGATCAGTATGATGTTTTAAGAAATTAGTACTTTTATTCATCAAGGATTTATTTAACTGATCAGGAGTGACAGTAAAGGCATTTATAATGTTACAAAAGATTTCTCTTTCAAATAAATGCTGTTCTTTTGAACTTTCTATTCACCAAAAAATCCTGAAAAATAAAGTGTATCATGGTTTCCACAAAAAATATGAAGCAGCACAACTGTTTTCATAATTGATAATCAGTGTTGGGGAAAGTTACTTTTAAAAGTAATGCATTACGATATTGCGTTACTCCATAAAAAAGTAACGAATTACGTTACTTAGTTACTTTTTATGGAAAGCGTTACGTTACTTTTGCGTTACTTTTTAAATCTGGACAGGGCTTGCATGCGTTACCCCCAACACTGTTGATAATATAACAATAATAAATATTTCTTGAGCAGCTAATCAGCATATTGATTTGATCACAGGAATAAGTAACATTTTACAGTATATTCAAGTGAAAACAGTTCACAACATTACTGTTTTTACTGTATTATTGATCAAATAAATGCAGCCTTTGTGAGCAAAAGAGACTTCTTTCAAAAGCATTACAAATATTTCCAACTGATATTGTAAGTGCCTCAAACGAATCTCTGAGTATGTTTCAAAGCTTTCAGGTGTGCTAAATATGATTAGTTCATCTTCAAAGTGGGTTAAATGTACCTGTTGTCTATGTTGACCACCAGGAGAACCGGAGGGGGGAACGAGCGGAGCAGCACCGGATCCGCACAGAGCGCGAGAAAGAACGGCAAAACAAACTAGCCGTAAGTTCGTTAAAGTAGACATCACGTCGATGTTATTCACCTTTTATTTTACAACGCGGAAATAAGCTATTTTCTTTGAATGTGCGAGACTTCCGGCTTCCGAATCATTGGCCGCTACAGGTAAATAACTAGATGATTAACAAAGTGCAGTCAACGGTAAAACTATTTGCGCTACAAATAGTGTGCGTCTGTTTATGATTACGATAATAAATTAATATAATATGATAACTAATACCACTTTGCAATATCAAGCAGCATAATGGTCTGGTTATGCTAAAATAACTGGAAGCAAATGACACCGGACGTTTTGCACAATCAAATTACAAATGGCTGCTCCCGCTTTTATATGATTATTAAAGGGGTCATGACTTTTTTTTTTTATTATTTTAATATATTTCTTGAGGTTTATTTATAATAAAGTTTTTTGCACTGAAAAAAACAACAACAAATAAATATGTGGAAAAATTATTGTTTTCGACCTTCATTCTGACCCTTTGTCTAAAACTACCTGTTTTAAGGGGCGTGTCCTTTAAGGCATGTCAGTGATCGGCCACTGTTATGATTGGCTAACGTCATTGCATAGGAAACCGTATCAACTATCACATTGCTATTGCATGTGAGTGTTTTGACAACATCATCTAAATAAAATGGTCATTTCCAGACAAAGCAATATGAAATCATTAGCTGCATCCCAAATTACGCACTATACACTATGCACTTATACACTATGTACTTATGCACTACACTCTAAAAAATGCTGGGCTAAATATAACCCAGCACTGGGTTAAAAAGGGACAAACCCAGCTATTGGGTTG